AAGACATCAGGAAAAATCATTAAAAAAATTATTCATGTGTTCTCAGCTGCTCCTTACCTATGGGGATTTTATAATACACGCAAAGCTTATGAACACAGAAACCAAACTGAAAATAGGACTTCTTTTCATATTGTGTGTGTGTGTGTGTGTGTAACAGATCTATGAAAATAAAATTATTTCAGGGCATTTGAGGCCATGTCATCTTGGATGATTTTAGCCTCACCAGGCTGAATCACGAGGACACATCTGGGATGTGGTTTCTGATGAATGGCTTCTATCACAAAGACAAGAAAAACTCCCCTGATCATGTTGCACACGTGCAGGAGAGCACCTGTAAACGTGTTTAGTAATAGCATTCAGAGAACCTTGGTGGTTCTAAGAACAAGAAGGATCTCCGAGAAATGGAAACAAAGTGTAGATGTGCCATTTGCTTAAACCTCCAGCTTTAATCATTCCGTCAGGTATGTGAATCTTAGTGAATCTCTCAGAAATTGTTCTGGTTCGAAATTAGTACTGTGGCTCACACCTCCCACCACCCCCAAACCAGAACTGTCTTTCTGAAATAAAACTGCTTTGGGGTTAACAAGTAAAGAAACTATAGAAGATTGCTATCCCCTTCTATGATTATTTTCTGATTCCCACTTCTGTCCCACTTGGACAGAAGAGTGAGAAGCTGAAGGTCTACATCCATATGCAAAAGGGGTCTTCTTGCAGTGAAGAAATCATTCTTCATGCAGGCTTAACTCAGGGTCTCCTAGTAAGTTGGAAATCTAAGAAATCAGTAGGGGTCCACTGCCATGACCATACGAATGAGCTCAAGAGGTGTTTAAAGTAACGTTGATCAAAATTTTGTGCTGGCGTCATCTTATCAATCTGAGTAAGGCGTGGAAAATGTTCGCTATTTCAAGTAGTAAAAGCAATGAGACAATCTTACCAGGGCAGTATAAATTACTTCATCCCACAGACCTCTGGGTCACTTGAGAGAAAACTTTCTTGCTCTTCTCTTGTATCTTGTATTCCAAGCAACATTCTGAGCAGAGTAACCAGTCTACAGAGCTGTGAGTGGGTATTCAATGGCTAAACTGTACTTTAAAATTTCTTGGATTGGGTTAACAGTCATTAATTCCTTTGTTGCCTTTCTCAGTGAAGGAAATAAAAATATATATTTTTAATGTTTATTTATTTTTGAGAGACAGAGAGACGGAGCATGAGCCGGGGAGGGCCAGGGAGAGGGAGACACAGAATTCGAAGCAGGCTATAAGCTGTCAGCACAGAGCCTGACACAGGGCTGTGAGATCATAACCTGAGCCAAAGTCAGATGCTTAACCAACTGAGCCACCCAGGTGCTCCTAAATACAAATATTTTTAATAGCCTTACCAATTTAATGATTCTTGTTATCCAGTATTCTACAGTGCAAATGTACTGTTTTGTTCACAATGCTGGGAAATTTTTCTAGATATGAGATTTTTCAAACAAGAGCAGAAAGGCTGCCTAACTTAGATTATGGAGATAGGTCAAAACATGTTTATTCTTGTGTCCTCACCAAGAAGGTAATAAACAAGGGCAAAACTGAGGTTTTATACACGTGATGCCAAAAGATGGCATTGAATTCCCTCTGTTACAGCTAAGAAATGGTTGTTGAGACATTATTTCTCATTCGCATTTGTTTATCTATAGAACAGTAACACTGTTATATCATCTCTCTTTGAAAGGATGAAAATGAATGCATCCGTACCCTGAATAACAATGTCTGGGGCATCTACTGCTTATATAGCTCGTCAGCAATTTGATCTTGTAAAATCTCTTAAATCACGTTAGAAATATGTAAACATTTTCTACGTGCTCAATAATAAATCTCACATGGCCTATTTTTAGACTGAAAGCCAATGAGCAGTATCATCTTCTTATTTTGTAGTAGGTACATAACACATAAAGTGCATCATTTTTATAGGTTTTGGGGTACCTTTCCAACTCCCAGTTACACTTTTGCCTAGTTTATAGCACAAGCCTTCATTTACTTAATATAAGCAAATGAAGAGTTAGAGGGCATTTAAGTACCATTTCAGAGTTGTTGGAATTTCTTTTTTCAAAGAGATTTGTGCATATAGGGGCGCCTGCATGGCTCATCAGTTAAGCGATAGACTCTTGATTTCAGCTCAGGTCACGATCTTGCAGTTTGTGAGTTTGAACCTCCTGCGTCGGGCTCTGTGCTGAAAGTGCGGAGCCTGCTTGGGATTCTCTCTCTCCCCCTCTCTGTCCCTCCCCTGCTAGCATTGTCTCTATCTCTCTCAAAGTAAATAAATAAACAAACATTTAAAAAAAGAGAGAGATTTGTGCATGGTGAGGCAGTCTCTTAAAAGATAAAGTAAAAATGATGTCAGAGACCTAGACATCTTTACTTATGGGCCCAGAATTTGAGCAATCTGGGTAGTTGTTGAGTTGCGATAGCTTTGCCCTCTGAAATCACCAGCTGGGCTTACCTTGAAAAATGGACTAGATACGTACTAATCTTATTAGCATCAACCTTCAGAGAAAAGCATAGCTGTGCACCTGGTTTTGAAATTAAACCAAATGCTCCATTTACACGTGTGCACCAAATGTATGGAGTCTCTGATTTTGTGATTTCTAGAACTACTTAGTTTCTTTGGTGGAGCTGTGCTGAGCCTGCTATTTAACTCCTGTCCCTCTTTTCCTTCCATCTCCAAGCACCAAGGTCCGTGGTGCACCGCTCCAGCTGCACACGGCCCGAGATCTTACTAAGTGGACTGCTGCTCTCTAACCCCTTGACAGCAACTGCTTGGCTCTGGGGATCTGCGTCTCAGCTGCACAGGACATTAGTATGTTCATCACACATGACGGCATCAGTAGCAAATGTGAATTCAATTTTGTTTTGCAAATTTTTTGGCACAAGATCGTTAGACATACTTGAGAGGGATTGAAAGATATTATTTAGCTACAGTTGGGAAGAACAATTTAGTGTCTTCACAAACACTGCAAGTCGTATAATTATTCAAAATCACTCCTGCAGATGAATTGCTATTATAATAACGAAATGTTCATGACACTTGCCGTGTGCTAGGTCTGTTCTCAGCACTTTGCGGATTTTAATGGAGATACCTCGTAACAACCAAATAAGTAGATCCCTCATTTTACAGATGAGGGAAAATGAAACATTTGGAAGTTAAAAACCCAAGATGCCCGAGAAGGCACAGCCAGTGAGTGGTGAAATTGAGATGTGAACCCAGGACACATACTGAGTGCTCTCCTTGATAGCACACAGTAGGGGTGTGTGAAAGAGCTCTTGGAATTTCCTTCATGACAAGACAATCCAATGACTTTACTCAAGAGTGTTTTGTCTATTCAGAACAGCAATAAGTAAACAACTCTAAATGTTGAATGCAATTAGCTGTTAACTGTTAACTAATAGCAAGTGACATCACAACTGTTAATTCTGGTTGCAAGCATCAGATTCTGAAATAATTTGAAATCTGGTAGTTTTATTTTCTCAGTGATTTAAGCCACTGGAAAAATGTCACATTAATTAGGTAATTGTTACAATGGTTTAAATTGAACCCAAATCTTTCTACAAGACTAAGTGACACCAATGTCTTATTAATGCTTCTTCAATTAATTGTACAACCTTATTAACAATCCTACTAATGTTCAAGCCACTCATTCAACTTTGTGAGACCAAATGTCCCGTGTAAGCCTGGTTTTCACTTGTCACACTTAGGTATGAGGAAAGTTCTGTAAAGCCCTTACGAGATGGTGAGATAAAAATGTGTATGCAGCACTGAGAAAATTAGAAATGCATTAAGAATAACGTAAGATTAAAAAAAAAGAATAAAGTAAGATTATACATTAAATTACTTTTTTTGTTTTCTAATATTTAAAAGATAGTTTTCTATGTGTCAAAATGTTATGTACTGGAGAATTAAAAAATCAAAACAAGTATAATATTACATAAAGAACTCTGTAATCTTTAACCTGAAACAGAATTAGGAGTGCTCTTCTGGTGAGTGACACACTTATTTCCCAAAACTCTGTCTGCCAGGCCTCTCCTAAATGAAATTGAATGTATCTCTAAATCCTGAAGAAATAGAGAATCATCACCTCTTAAGATTATGGCCAATAATCATTCCATTGTTTGCTTTTCAGAGAAGTTAGTAGTAAAGCTTATAATTTTTTCTGTTACTTGTAAGGTTTACTATTTCAGATTCTTTACCAAATTATTTCTTTACTTATTTTCTTTTTTTGTATTTTTGAGAGACAGAGAGAGACAGAGCAAGCAGGGGAGGGTCAGAGAGAGAGGGAAGTACAGAATTCAAAGACAGGCTCCAGGCTCTGAGCTAGCTGTCAGCACAGAGCCCGACGCGGGGCTCAAACCCACAAACCGTGAGATCGTGACCTGAGCCGAAGTCGGATGCTTAACCCACTCAGCCACCCAGGTGCCCCATCCACCAAATTATTTCTTAGCTTGGCCTCAAAGCTGTAGTATGATTCCAGAGCATGATAACAGACAAATCATTCTGTTGGTAAACAGTATAAACTCCTGCAAATATTTTATTATTGGCTCTGAAACGTACAGAAAGAGCTAGAAGTTTCAGAGAATCCAGGACAAATATAAAGACAAAAAGAGAGTGGAATCCTTTCTGGTAGTAACTTAATTTTCCTGGTTATTTCGGGCCCATATCTGAATCTCTAATTGTCCAACTGTATGCAGTGATAAGCAGACAGCATTCTCTATGCACCGCACCTCTCTTTGGGAGATGCACGGAGTGTAGAACTCCCTGCTAGTGGCCACAAATAACTCCTTTTTTGGCCACATGCTGAATGGCGCATTAGTGGGAGGAGATTTGGTAGCTGGGGCGAGCTCTCGGGCTGGGGGCGGGGTGGACGGAGGGGTGCTGATGTGAATGGGCCCACATAGACACGATGTGCATTAGACCTCAGCGACATTCATTCCCAAACAGTTAGGTTCCCGAGGAAGGGGCCTTACCCGGGCTTTCTGCTCCATTTCTAGCATTAATCTCTCATGTTGCTCAGCTATGGCCAGTGTCGCAGAATGGACCTTCTGGTAGATCATTTCTCCTTCCCTTGTTTGAAAAGTGAATAGTCCTTCTCCTGTGTCACACATTCTGTGAGAACAGAGATAGGGAAAGAGATGGGTCTTCACAGGTTCAAGTGCATTACAGTTTTCCATGTAAAGGATGCCCTTGCCCTGTGTTACCCTCCTCCTTGACCAAACCAACCAACCAACAAGCACATCTTTAAATAGTATATGAGATGGAACGGAGGGTAAAAACTCATGTCTATTGGGATTTTTAAGGATGAAGTGTTCACCACATGCACAGAAGCAGATACCAATGGTTTCAGTTACTGAAGTCCATCTCTTACCACCTCCTACTAATAAAAGCAAGTAGTCATTTTCTTTAAGGCTTTCCACATCTGTGCTATCATCACACTATTTCCAAGATGTGATGGCTCTCAAAATTTAAAGACCTTAAGAAAAATCTGTAGTTTTATACTCGCTGTGGGAGAAGCCAAAAAGACCATTCATTTTATAGTTTATGGATTTGCATACATAGGCTGAAGCTGTTATTTAAACCAAGTAACTGTTAAGTAAATCTTTGCATCTTAAGAAACAACACGGCATAAAGAAGACCCTATTTAGGTATGAGAATATCTGGTATAAATTTTGACTTTGCCACTTACCAGCAGTGTGACCTTGGGCAAGTTAAATAACTTGCCTCTTACCTCCTTTCCACAGCTCTAACATAGGAAAAAGAATAGAGCTCATCTCATAAGATCCTTATGATAGTTGGAGGACTAATCTAAATATCCACTGTAGAGAAATGAGTGGTGTAATTTTAGTATTTTTATCTGATGGACTATTATACAGCAATTACTATGTCATTTCTGAGAGGATATAGCAACATTACAAATTCTTATTAAGTACACTCATGAGGGAAAAATCAGAATAAAAATTTTTCAATCACTTAATTATAATTACCTTTTTAAAACATAACTTTATTGGAATAAAACCACTGATATTTTATTAAAGCAATAGGATTACAGGTGAATTTTATTAACAGATACCAATTCTAAAACGAAAAATATTTCTAATTAATATTTTAAGCTGGCTTTGAAAAATAATTGGAGGCCTTCAAAAAGGCCCACTCAATATCCATATGATGTTACTACTGAGATATGGTGTATTAGCTGGATTGCTGTGTCGTTGGTTGGTTTTCAGATTACAACATCAAAAGATTTGCACGAGACATTCTTGAGGCCAAACTCTGTCTTCTAGCACCACGAAGATTTTGGATTCTTCCCTATGATTCCCCAAGGAGTTTTCAGTAGAAAAGAAATGTCTCAAGAGGCTTCAGACATTACAGAGGCTGCGAATGCCAACCCTCAGGGCCCCATAGAGCCAGCACTTAGCTTCTGTGAAAAAGATCTTAATAAAATTCACACAGCGTGAAATGGAAAGTCTGGGGGGAAAATGAAGCATTTTCACAAAGTGAAACAAATGAGCTTTCTTTGTTGATTCAGAGGAGTATACCAGCCCGACAGCCGGAGCAGGGCAACGACCCACAAGCAGTGAGCACAGCCTGTGGGAGGGGGAGTTCTGTTCCTTGTCATCTGAAAAGCACTGCTCAGTAGCCATCGGAAATGAGATAATGAAGACACACACTGTCATCTCCTCCTCAGTCACCGAGATGCAAAGGTCTATCACTTACCCACTTCCTGGGACTTAACTGCCCAGTAAGAGGGTTTGAAAGCTTGCAGAAGTTTTTCTCCAGCCTCTGAGATACAGGCTCATGAACCTTCAGCCTTTGATCAGCAAACAAGGAATTAAAACACGTTCGCATTAAAAAGTGAAGACATTTTAGGTAAAAGGTGTTCCTTCTTCAACATAGGTATCTAGAATTAGCTCCTACTTTTGGCTTTCATCTTCAGTATTGGAATTAAACAGATTATTGTTTATCCCTGGTTATTGTTTAGAACATGTTCTCCTGGGACTGGTAAGACACAGATATGGATGGAGATTTGTTTTTCTTATGTGTCTGGATAGTTTGGTGGCAGCAAGCCAGTCCTGGAGGAGATGAGGTGGGAGATGAAGTCCTTTTGCTGGCTACTGCCTGGCTGGGGAACGTGTGGTCCGCAGACCGCAGCACTGGCCTCACTGGGAACCTGTCCGGGCCACTGGATCAGAACCTGCATGTCACAGTATTCCAGGTGACTCCTATGGACAGTACAGCCGGGGAGCACTGGCCTACAGAACGCCTTCTACAGGTCACGTGGGACCCAAATGAGAACAATTTAGAAGCCATGTTTATTTGTGCAGCTTCAGACAGTGACATATGAGACTGAAGTTCAGAAAGGAGGCGCCATGATGTAAAGACAGAAAACCTGAAAGAATTGTTTCTTTAACTTGGGAAGAGCTAATACAGAGGCGCTCCATGCATTTGAGTATCTAACACATTCATCAATTGCGTTTATTTGGAGAAACAGTGAAAATATGGGCAGTGTATATTTGTCTTGACTCCAGACTGATTATGATTGAAATTTATAGACAATCACGACTGTTAAGCTCTCTTTATAGTTAACAAGGTATTTTCACAAAATTAATACCTTTTCTTATCTAAAACTGAATGTTAAGGAATATCATCTCTAAGATCCCTTTCAGCTTTAAAGAACAATTTTAAAATTCTAAGAGTGGCTTACACATCAATTTCCAGGGTGTTTTTTTTTTTTTTGACATTGTGACACATGGGATATTATAATAGTATAGAATCCAAAAGTCTAAGAGCACAAATCTCAACCATCGTGTCATTGCCTGTCATGTTCATTTACCACACATTTACCAAGTAGGTACTGTAAGCCAGGCACTTTCCTGAGTCTGAAGATGAACAGGATGGGGACACATACACGGCCCATCGTCTCTGAGGCTCTATGAATAGTGAGAAGATAAGTATCGTTGGAGGAGGATTACTAGGTTCTAGCAGGGAGCATTTTACCAAATTAGTCCTCATGTATCAAATGGAGGTTGGGCCGCCTGGGTGGCTCCGTTGGTTAAGTGTCTGACTCTTGATTTCGGCTCAGGTCATGATCTCACGGTTCATGGGTTTGAGCCCCCGGTTGGGCTCTGTGCTGACAGTGCACAGCCTCCTTGGGATTCTCTCTCTCCCTCTCTCTCTGCCCCTCCTGGCCTTCTCTCTTTCTCTCTCAAAATAAATAAATAAACTTAAAAAAAAATAAAATGGGGGCAACAAGACTTGGTCACAAGACTGTTTCTATTTGTCTTTTGATTAAATTGGGTGCTGCGTGTGACAGTGTTAGGGCATGGGACAGTGTCAGAAAGAAATTAGTTCAGCAGACCTGGGTTCCCCAAACCCTGCACAGTCCAAAGAAAGGCTGTGTCTGGGTGGTTCCTTGGCCAGTTTCTGGACTGTAATCTCTGAACCTCTGGAATATTCAGCCTGATAAGAGTGAATTTCTGTGGGCCCACAGCCTTGGGCAAAGCTGTAGCACTTTGGCCGGATGAGCTCATCTTAATAATGTGTGTTTTGCTCTGGGGGAGGCTGGAGTCTGAGCAGCTGGTGTCGAACCTGTGGACTCTGACTGCCCGTAGGTCGGATCCTCAGCAAAACCCTTGACCCAAGGCTTGCGATAGCTTCCTGCTTAACACCCCCACCTGTGTCTTTTCCCCCGTCCTCGTGGGGCAATCAGGTGGCCCTGAGAGGGCGCCCCGGAAGCCCGGCCCGCTCCATCCTGGCCCTCCGCCCTTCGCTGGTTTTAATCTGCACTTTCACTGCAGTCACCACAGCTGTGAGTAGCGGCGATTTTTTTCTGAGTCCTGGGTCTTTCTAGAGAAACGCCGAGCTTGAGGGGGGTGGTGGGACCCCTCCACTCAAGGCAGCCAGCAGGCGTCAGATTGTCAATAGGGTTTGATGCAGGAAGAGTCTAAGAAAATCCTAGAATTTTCTCTCAATGGCCCATCTTGAAATTCCATTTATCCTTTCCTTCTTTAACCCATCTCACCACTCACGTCCAGAATCATTCGAAATAAGGCTACTCCGGGTCTAGCCTCTGTCATGTTCCAATAAATAAGGACCCCGCAGAGCTCATGGGAATGTCTGTGTTCACAGGAAACAGGACTCTATGAGGTGCTCTGCTATGGAAATATTCTCTTAATACCCTTCAAGGGGGGAAACGGCCCTAATCGCGAGAAGCCTAGAGGCAACTGCATGTGAGAACAAGCCCTTACCTTGTAAGCTATTCGATGCCTGCCCTCTTTTTCTGCCTTTAAGTCTCAAAGTTAAGTCTTTATGAAGGGGTGGTTTCAAAATCCCAGCCCTTTTCCAGATGACAAACAAAAGAAATTCACCAAAACTTATGGAAACACTTTATTATTTTTTTTATTATTCTTTTTTAATGTTTATTTATTTTTGAGAGGGAGAGAGTGAGACAGAGCACGAACAGGGGAGGATCAGAGACCAAAGGAGTCACAGAATCCAAAGCAGGCTTGGTGCTCTGAGCTGTCAGCACAGAACCCGGCGCGGGGCTAGAACTCATGGACTATGAGATCATGACCTGAGCTGAAGTCAGACTGAATCACCAGGCACCCCAACACATTACTTTTAAAAACTGAACCCAGATACTTTAAAATACTTATCTGTGGGTCTCTAGATAAAATTTCACTACAGATGAATCTGTAGACGTCTGGCAATGTTGCCCATTTTCGAGGCTGTACGACTCTGTTCTCACTGTAAATTGCGCAGTACTGTTGACATATTTCATGACCAGATATTTACCCTCTGTACACACAAAAATTTTAAACATTCAGTAATGGAGAAGAGCAAGAACCCTTTCCTGAAAACCCTATGGTGTATCTATTCAGTATTTAAAATTTAATGTTTAATTACAGAAAGTAATGAAATTCTTCAAAGCACAGCTTTTCTGAAGAGTGGTTAAAACCAATTAACACTTTTATTCCATTAGCAGTTTAATCTTTATTGTCATTTAACAATGCTAGCATTGGGCTTTTCTTTTAGCAGCTACGAAAAGGCTGAAGTTTCTCTCTACGAGCTCTGGTGAGTCGGACTTGGATCTGTGGTAAGAAATTGCAAGC